GGGCCTCCCTCCCACTGCGAGGGGCTTCTGTTGCAGGACAACGCCGTCTCTGCCGAGATTCGGGCTCTGCTGTCCTCCTATTACAGTGACAGGTGATGTACTGCCCCCCACCTCCCAGGAAGAGGAGGAGGAGGAGGAGGAAGGCTGGGCAAGAGGGTGGGGTAGGGGGGGCGTGCTGGGATGAGGGGAGCCGGATGGGGAATGGGGTCTGTCTTGTTGCTTGGGAGCTTGAGCCGAGGTGGAGGGGGGCTATTGCGACCCCCTGGCTGGTTAGGGGCTTCCCATGGAGGCATCAAGAAGGGGGGGGCTTGATGGCTGGCACAGCCCAGGGGCCCTTCTCACGCGCCCCCCTCCCCTCTCTCCCTCCCTCCCCCCCCCACAGCTATTGAGCCTGCAGACGACATTGAGGCTGTGACGGAGATTCTGGCCCGCCGGGTCTCTGGGCTGGGAGACCCCGCCTGGCTCTCCCTCTTCGACAGGGCCTCAGGCGGCGGCAGTGGTGGCGGCGGCAGCAGCAGCAGAGGCAGCAGTGGCAGCAGCAGCAACGGCGGCAGCTCCAGCGCCAGCCCGCGCCCGCCTCACCCTCCCTGGGGCCGACCTCGCACCCTCTCCCTGGACGCCAAGCTCAGCACGCTGAAAGGGCGCTCGGGCCGCCCGCCCCGGCCCCCCTCACCCAGGGCGTGGGGCAGCCCTTCCCGCTCAAGCTCCTCCAGCAGCGGCAGCCCCACCCCAGAGCCAGAGCGGGCCCCCCATCCCCACCCCCGGCCGAGATTTGACCCTCACCTATGGCTGCAGTCCCAGGTCTGACAAGGTGGGGCTGGCAGGGGTGGGGGGTCGAGAGCCTTGGGCAGTGACTTTCCCCGGGGAGGGGCAGGCAGGAGGGGACGGAGCAGATGGCTGTGCCCATGCCGGGGGGCCCCACCCTAGCGACCCCCTTCCTGAAGGGCCAGGCCTACTCTTGAGGAGTGGCTTGCTGCAACCAGGGAGGTGGCTTGCGCTCACCCTCCAGGTATGGCTCCTCTGCGCACCTCTGGGCCAGGTGTGCGCCCCCCCATTCACACACACCCCCGGGGAGGGCTCAGGAGCCCTAGGGAATGGGCAGGGGCCGCCTTTGGGGCACAAAAAAGCACCTTTCCTTCAAACTGGAGTAATTTGGCCCTGACACTGGATGGACGGGGGGGGGGCTGGGCGATCTCCCCAGAGGGCAGCAGAGGACGGACCCTTCCGCTGTGGGAAGGGCCGCCTCCCCCAGCCAAGTGGGCACCTGGGGTCCTGTGCCCCTCCGCCAGTCCCCCCCCTTCTGCTTTTTTTTTGTAAACCTCTTGCCAGCTTCAGATGTCTGTGCCAACTGTGGGGGTGGGGTGGGGGAGA